TGTCTTGTTCCTTCATCTGGTACATAGCCCTCTGCCTTTTCATCTTGCCTATCTTTCTGTGAATGTGATTTTTGTTCCACAAGCCTCAGATCTTTTTAGTAGAAAAATTTCTCTGTTTTCCTCTAGTCCAAAAGATTATAAATTATTTTCTAGTTTGTCTGTTTATGTTTTTATTTTTAAAATTTTTGGGGCTGTGCCGTGTGGCCTGCGGGATCTTAGTTCCCCGACCCGGGATCAAACCTGTGCCCCCTGCATTGGGAACTCGGAGTCTTAACCACTGGACTGCCAAGGAAGTCCCTATCTGTTTATATTTTTAAAAGAACAAAGTTTTCCCTTTAAGATCTATAATAAGAGAAAAAAATTCAACAAACCAATTGAAACAGGTTTTTATGCTGTGGTTTTATTTTTCAGTTTTATATTGTTTAAAAATTTAGGTTTAATTTGTAGCAACCTATATTTCTCTTTTTAGGGGACTGATTAAATTTTGGAACATTCAGACAGAATATTATACCCAGCTAAGATAATGCATGTATTTAATTTATTGATTTTTAGAGATGTGTATGATTATTCTTTAACTCTGTATTGAAATATGTGCCATATTGAGTGAGGAAAAAAGACCTCAGAGCTTCATTTGAGATAATATACTTAATGTTTGTTAAAAAGAAATACATTTCTGTATGTATCTATGCATAGAAAAGTCTGGAATGATGTATGTCAAATATTAAGTGCTAATACCTAGTGATGGGATTATGAGTAATTTTAATTTTATTCTTAATACTTTCAGGATCATTTCTAGTTTTTACAAAGAGCATGTCTTAATTTTTGATTAAAAGTATCTTCATTTTGTGGGGAGGGAAGAGAAAAGGGGAAATTAGCTTTAGTTACAAGAATGAAGAACCTTCTCTAATTAAAGGCTTTCCAAAGAAAACCAGGACGGAATCTGGAGCTCTGAATATCAATTTCAAACTACTGTATTTTTGTATATTGATTAATCTTTCAGTTTTTATTTCATTTTTTTCTAGGCCAGCCTTTATGGATGAATATGAGAAGACTGAGGACGAATTGCAAAAGCAGTATGACATTTATCTAGAGAAATTTCGAAATCTGGCTTATCTGGAACAGCAACTCGAGGATCATCACAGGATGGAGCAAGAGAGGTTTGAGGTGAGTGCTTAGTCCTTCTGTATGACCATTTGTTCTGGTGTGTTACTTTGTACTTGTTGACATGCCAGTTTGTAAATATCACTGTGAAAAATATACCTGGTGAATGTTTTTTCTCCCTGACCAGACTAAGGATTGCTCATGTGATTCTTCTGTTTTTCTGGTTGTGTAGCCTGGGCTCCGAGGTTGTCAAATCTTTGGTAGTAGGTTATCACCAGAATTTGGTCAGTTAGGACTACAGATAGGGTGGGGACATGACCTGTGCAGTTGGCTACAGCTGCAAGCTTAGAAGGACCTGGGCTTGCTTTAATCCTCTGCTGTCACCGTTTTGAAATTCTTAGTAATTTTTTTTTTTTTCTTAGTAATTTTTAACTGCATTTTATTTTGCACTGAGTCCCACAAATTATGTAACATGTCTTGTGTACAGATCTTGCTTGGTCAGCTCACTTAAAGATTTTCAAGCTCTGGTTTATTGAATCACCCAGAGTAGCTTTTCAGAAACTGCTTTATAAAGAAGAATTGTGGCTTATCGATTATTGTGGGAAATATGTATGACCTATAAACTGACCAGCTGTCTTTCAGGTTCCTTTCATCCCAATGCGTAAGGCCATTTAGGAAAGAGTATTTCAGATCCCAGCATCAGTTGATAAGTATGGAATCAGAGCAAAGGAAGTTGGACAAAGTTGCTGTCATTTTGAATTGCCCTTATCCCCTAGGGATATTTCTGCTTAACCCTAAAATAGGCATTTGGAATCTATTTTCACAGTGAAACTGGTCTCCAGTCTCCCTTTCTCATGCTGTCCTTGACAGCTTTTGGTATAAAGGTTATCCTAGCCTTATTACAAACCTGGACATTTGAATTAGGTGATGCTACTTTGTTGCCAAGAGGGCTGGCTGTAACTGACACCTTCATCTGGACGAGGAACCTGTTGCCACTCTTGCTGTAAGGTAGAGGCAGGTCATGGAGGAATGGAGGGTCCAGGACAGGCACGTTTTGAGGGCAATGAAAAGACCCTGGAGTTCTGGACATTTTAAACATTGGGTGTCTGGGAAAGAGCAGTAAAGAGACAGTGAAAATAAGCTGATCATTTTGTACTATTGTCTGGGCCACCCCTGGGCTCAGAGAACGTACCAAAGAACGTGCCTCAGGATGCGAGTGGGTGGCCCAGGTTACTTCTGAAGGGCGCCTTCCTGCCCACCCTCCCTTCAGCAAGTACCTACCCTCTTTTTCTTCTGTGCTCACAGCTACTCCCCATGCTTCTAATACCTGGTCCCTCAAAATATCTCATGCATGAAACAGTGCTTCCTTTTTAACATTTAGAACAACAGCACATTTTTAAAAGCCAATTTCCTCTCCCATTCTCTCTTTTTCTAACTTTTTTTTTCGGCCGCACCGCATGGCATGCGGGATCTTAGTTCCCCAATCAGAGATGGAACCTGCGCCCTCTGCAGTGGAAGTGCGGAGTCTTAACCACTGAACCACCACAAGGAAGTCCCTCCCATTCTCTTTTTTGACAATAATCAGGGCCACATTTTGTAACCTAACTCAAGTATTAGCTTTTTTTTATACCCTAGGAATTAAAACTAGTATTTCTTTCTTTCTTTTCCTATCTGATCACTCCTACCATTTAGCCCCTTTCAGGGTTAGAATTGTGCAGGGCAGGAAAATGATAAAATTTGTGCTTTATTTTAAGAGCAAGAGGCCCCGTAGTTGATGCATCTGTTCCTGTGTCCACATCCCACACAGGCACACGTGACGGGCATCTTGTTGTGTTGTCAATTTTCTTCAGAGGCAGTGAGGTGTAGTGGGAGGAGCCTGGCTTTGGGGATCAGTGAGGCCCATTTTGGGCCAGTGGTGTCACTTCTGGGAGCCCGCCTTTTCATCGGGCTGCCAGAGTGATGACGGAGAGGGGGTGTTGAGTTTCTCATGCAGTGTTAGTTCTCTTCCCCTTCCTGTAGTTTAGTCTTTTTTGCTTCTATATCACAAATTTAGCAGTACTTACATGGTAAAGAATAATAAAACAGTCCAGAAAGTGTCATTTCTTCTGGATCTTGTTTTTCCTGCTCCATAGGAAGCTGAAAACACTCTCCGTCTGATGCAGAACAAGCTAAAGGAGGAAGAAAAGCGACTGCTCAAGAGCAGAAGTAAGCCCACACTTTTTAAATGGACGTACTTACTCTGGACTAGAGTTTTTAGCCTCAGAAAATTTACACGCATATTTTATTTATTTTCAAAAGGCAATTTTCTCACAACTTTTATATCAGGTACCATTTTAATTCACTTAGGAGCTCAAGAGAATGTTTTAAATTACATAGCATTTAAAGTACATTTGGTTTTCGTGCCAACTGAAATACTGTTTTCCCCTGTTTAAATGATACAATTAGTTTGAGTTGCATATAATTATACAAGAAAATTTGCTCTTAGAGGTCTTGTAGGGTTCCTTATTTTAGGGCAAACTGAGGGAAAGCAAGTATTGTGATGCAGTACAAGTGTACTTATTTGAAGGTAGTCCCCCCACTTCACACACGCCTGTCATATGTCCCCCAGTAATCCAAAGTCGTTCATCTAGGCTCTCACCTGTAGAGAAATGGGAGTTACCTACTTGTGAGACCTAGATTCTGGGAAGAAATGTTCCCCATGACTGGGTAGCACACTTCATCCATGAACTTCACCAAGGTGTCAAGTCAGCCTTGGGAGCAGTAGCAGCACATGATCTTCATGCGGAATTGATGGCTTTGTCTCACAGAGTTACTTCTCTTGCTTGTTTCTCTTTTCTTGTGATGGTTTTTTCTCTCATGCTTGCAGGAAGTGTACCTGTCCCAGCAGGTGTGCTCTCTCTCTGTGTTTTCCCTTTGTATCTCTTGCCTGTCATACTTGTTCTATGCCTCTCTCTCCTGAATGTCAGGAAACTCTGGAAGAAGAGTAGGGACTGCTGTGAAATTCTCTAGGGGCAAGTTTAGAAAATTCCAAGGGCCTCTCTAGCAAAAGCACCCCCTCACCTTTATGGTTCCAGGTTGGCCAGGAGTGCCTGAAGCAGCCCTAAATGATAAGCCTGCATGGAGTTTATCCTCTTCCGAGAGGCCCAGCACAGGTAAGAGCCTGGTTGGTTGGCTGCATCCTGCTCTGCCCTGGACCAGGGCATTAAGACCTTTCTCAGTGATCTTGCTTTATTCTTCTGAACTCCTACTTTAATTTTGTGATCCGTAGGTTTGGGATCTCATGAAGGACAGAGATTCTCATGAGTATGTGTGATTTAGTTTTTTTGGAAAAATAAGTTCCGGTTTAAACCAACTTAATGAAGGAAAGCGCTTAATTTAGTAATTTTTGAGCAAAGAAGTTAGGAAAATATTTACAAAGGACCATTCTCAGTTCTATTTATCCTAAGCTTCTTAAGATGCCCTGTGCTTCTTTGCTTTTCTGCACATGTGGGAACATTGCCCAGAGTATTGGGATATAAAGGAGGAGAGATATAAAGGAAGACCTTCTGAACTTTTCTCCCATCTGTGAAAGACTCCTCTGAACAGAAAAATCTAATAGTACATAGATGTGAATCGGGGCAAGAATTAGCAAAATCCAAAAGCTGGAAGAGAGCATCTTGTTCAGGCCACTCTGCAGGTAGCTGATTCAACCCAGCAAAGCATTATTGAGTATCTATTCTGGGTGCTAAGGACATACCAGTGGACAGCAGACAGGGATCCTTGCCTTAAACGATTTGATGTGCTAATGACATGCTGGGGAACAAACAATAAGCAAGCTGTTTGTGGAAGGTGAAAAATGCCATGGGGGAAAACGAGGAGCAGGTAAGGGGCATAGGGAAGGTGTAATAGAATTGCAGTTTTAAAGAGGAGTCAGGGTAGACCTCACCAGGAGATGCTGTTTAAACAAAGGCTAAATCAGTAGAGCTGGGGAGAAGGGAGCTATCAGATGGGGAAAGTCCCAGCCTTTCTGTGAGAAACTCAGTGAGTTTTGCTGAGTGAGGAAAAGTATGAACACATGGGGCTGGAGCTGAGGCAGATGAGATGAGCTGGAAGGTGGGCCGTGTGCTTGAGGGGTTCACATTTGATGGAGACTGTCTTCTCTGTTAAGCAGGAGGTAAAGTCATCTCAGATTTCGCTTTGGGATTTGGAGTAAGAGGTTTGAGGAAGAGAAAGTTTGAGTAATTAGAGATGGGAGAGTGCCATAGGCCCCAGAGATTAAAAAGGCAAAGTGCTCTGTTGGGATGCCCTGTAATAAAAGTCAAGGGCGACTCTTCACCTTCCCACCATCCTTTTAAACCTCGTTGCTGGGGGTAAATTTATAACTGTATCCTCGGTAGGATTCAAGCACTGTAGCATTAGGAACTTAAAGAATCCTCTGAATTTATAAAATGACCCAGGAATTTCTAGAAAGCAACTGAGTAACCTTGCTGTGGTTCCATTTTTGTGGTGTAGTGGAGAGAAGATGTTCATGCATGTCATGCACATTTACCATGTGCCTACTGTGTGACGGGTGTTGTGCCAGTGCACAGTGATGGCAAAGGCGCTCAGGGATCTCCACGTCTAGAACTGCACCATCGGTACCTGGCCATGAGCTGGTGTTCTTGGAGCACTTGAAACGTGGCTAGTCCGAATCGAGATATGCTGTTTGTGGAGAATATACACCAGATTTTGAAGACTTACTATAAAAGTAGAGTAAAATTACTCATTAATACTTTTCTAAATTGGTTACTTTTTTTTGAATTTTATTTTATTTTTATACAGCAGGTTCTTATTAGTTATCCATTTTATACATATTAGTGTACATATGTCAATCCCAATATCCCAGTTCATCATACTACTACCCCTCCCACCCGCCACGTTCCCCCCTTGGTGTCCATACGTTTGTTGTCTACATCTGTCTCTCAATTTCTGCCCTGCAAACTGGTTCATCTGCACCACTTTTCTAGGTTCCATATATATTCACTCTGTATGACAGTTTCTAGATCCATCCACGTCTCTACAAATGACTCAATTTCGTTCCTTTTCATGGCCGAGTAATATTCCATTGTATATATGTACCACATCTTCTTTAACCATTCGTCTGTTTATGGGCATTTAGGTTGCTTCCATGTCCTGGCTATTGTAAATAGTGCTGCAATGAACATTGGGGTGCATGTGTCCTTTTGAATTATGGTTTTCTCTGGGTATATGCCCGGTAGTGGGAATGCTGGGTCATATGCTAATTCCATTTTTAGTTTTTTAAGGAACCCCTCCATACTGTTCTCCATAGTGGCTGTATCAATTTACATTCCCACCAACAGTGCAAGAGGGTTCCCTTTTCTCCACACTCCCTCCAGCGTTTGTTGTTTGTAGATTTTCTGATGATGCCCAATCTAACTGGTGTGAGGTGATACCTCATTGTAGTTTTGATTTGCATTTCTCTAATAATTAGTGATGTTGAGCAGCTTTTCACATGCTTCTTGGCCATCTGTATGTCTTCTTTGGAGAAATGTCTATTTAGGTCTTATGCCCATTTTTGGATTGTGTTATTTGTTTCTTTAATATTGAGCTGCATGAGCTGTTTATATATTTTGGAGATTAATCCTTTGTCCGTTGATTCATTTGCAAATATTTTCTCCCATTCTGAGGGTTGTCTTTTCATCTTGTTTGTAGTTTCCTTTCCTGTGCAAAAGCTTTTAAGTTTCATTAGGTCCCACTTGTTTATTTTTGTTTTATTTCCATCACTCTAGGAGGTGGATCAAAAAAGATCTTGCCGTGATTTATGTCAAAGAGTGTTCTTCCTATGTTTTCCTCTAAGAGTTTTATAGTCTCTGGTCTTACATTTAGGTCTCTAATCCTTTTTGAGTTTATTTTTGTGTATGGTGTTAGGGAGTGTTCTAATTTCATTCTTTTACATGTAGCTGTCCAGTTTTCCCAGCACCACTTATTGAAGAGACTGTCTTTTCTCCATTTTATTTCCTTGCCTCCTTTGTCATAGATTAGTTGACCATAGGTGTGTGGGTTTATCTCTGGGCTTTCTGTCCAGTTCCATTGATCTGTATTTCTGTTTTTGTGCCAGTACCATATTGTCTTGATTATTGTAGCTTTGTAGTATAGTCTGAAGTCAGGGCGTCTGATTCCTCCAGCTCCGTTTTTTTCCCTCAAGACTGCCTTGGCTATTTGGGGTCTATTGTGTCTCCATTACAAATTTTAAGGTATTTTGTTCTAGTTCTATAAAAAATGCCATTGGTAATTTGATAGGGATTGCATTGAATCTGTAGATTGCTTTGGGTAGTATAGTCATTTTCACAATATTGATTTTTCCAATCCAAGAACATGGTATATCTCTCCATCTGTTGGTATCATCTTTAATTTCTTTCATCAGTGTCTTACAGTTTTCTGCATACAGGTGTTTCGTCTCCCTAGGTAGGTTTATTCCTAGGTATTTTATTCTTTTTGTTGCAGTGGTAAATGGGAGTGTTTCCTTAATTTCTCTTTCAGATTTTTCATCATTAATGTATAGGAATGCAAAAGATTTCTGTGTATTAATTTTGTATCCTGCAACTTTACCAAATTCATTGATTAGCTCCAGTAGTTTTCTGGTAGCATCTTTAGGATTCTCTATGTATAGTATCATGTCATCTGGAAACAGTGACAGTTTTACTTCCTCTTTTCCAATTTGTATTCCTTTTATTTCTTTTTCTTCTCTGATTGCTGTGGCTAGGACTTCCAAAACTATGTTGAATAATAGTGGTGAGAGTGGACATCCTTGTCTTCTTGTTCCTGATCTTAGAGGAAATGCTTTCAGTTTTCACTATTGAAATGATGTTTGCTGTGGGTTTGTTGTATATGGCCTTTATTATGTTGAGGTAGGTTCCCTCTATGCCCACTTTCTGGAGAGTTTTTATCATAAATGGGTGTTGAATTTTGTCAAAAGCTTTTTCTGCATCTATTGAGATGATCATATGGTTTTTCTTCTTCAGTTTGTTAATATGGTGTATCGAATTGATTGATTTGCATATATTGAAGAATCCTTGCATCCCTGGGATAAATCCCACTTGACCACAGTGTATGATCCTTTCAGTGTGTTCTTGGATTCTGCTTGCTAGTATTTTGTTGAGGATTTTTGCATCTATATTCATGAGTGATATTGGTCTGTAATTTTCTCTTTTTGTAGTATCTTTGTCTGGTTTTGGTATCAGGGTGATGGTGGCCTCATAGAATGAGTTTGGGAGTGTT